CGCGCTTGATCCACTTAACGTCAAACGACTATTTTGCCACATTCATAACAGACATTTGAGAAAATGGCATCTACTGGCTTCCGGGCTGTGTTGACATTTAGGGAGTGGTGTTCCATGGGAAAACGGCGCTGTCCTGAGGGCTAGTGGTGATGAGCCACACCCTTTTATTTCCTTACCTGTCAGGGTGTGTTCAAAACCTGCACTGCATTGTATCGGGGGCAGAATACGCAATACTTTCTGTGACAAAGGGTGAAGAAATACAAGAAAAAGTTACATTCTTCCACGGGGCGTTTAGCTTTGATGTAAACGTCCATGTTATTTATTCTTCAGGAGAGCAGCATATAATGTTAGCAATTAAGAGGTTGCACTATTGACTGGCTTAGTACACAGCTCTGTTCTTTCGAAGCTGCATTCAGGCTTGCTCTAATCTGTTTATTCACTTCATCTTGTCCTCCCCTCCTCCCGAGCCAGGTCAGTCTGAGACTTGATCCAGCGGCATGCTAAGAGGCTTGATCTAGGCCACCACCTTTCACAGGCAGCCGGTGGCATGACCAGCTGGTGGAGATGACAGCGGTGCAGACACAGACGTTCTCAAACATGCAAGCGCTGAGTGTCAGTCTTAAGTATCTGTCTCCCTGTGTCAGCACAGGAATGACTATATACCAGTCACCTCGTCTGGAACTGCCAGTCTACGTGAGGGAGGAGAATTGAAGTGAGTCATGGAGGATCATGCAGGGATTGCTGGGTTTACAGAGTTGACTCCCTTGTTGATTAAGATAAAGTCATCTCTGGAAAGTAAGGAGTGTCTCTGCCCTTTGCTGAAGGAACAATACTCAGAGTGAGATGCAGAATCCCCACTCTTGCTCTCACCATGCCTACAGTTCCAGCCCTGTTAAACACACACTCTCAACTGGGCTAACATGACTCACAGCAGCGCAGTTACCCCCCTCACCTCCCTAGTGATTACTCGGTATCTGCCCAGCTGCTGACTACAATGACTTTACAGTCTCTGCATTTTTTTTTTAAACATTTTCTCTTCCTCAGGAGTTTTTTGCTTGCAAATCAGACAAACAACTATTGTCTGCTGTCTGATATGTACAGACCAGAGAGATAAGCAGGGTTACAAGGTTTTGGAAGTTAAAGCAATTATTTTTGTGTTTATCGCTTGGAGGTGCACAAAACTATTCATGTTCAATCACCACAGGCAATTAGCACAAAAAAAGTCTAACATGAAAAACAACAACTTGAGATTCCAAGTTTGACTCTTACTCAGCAAAACACAAAGAAATATTCAATCACTATGTATTTCTTTCCAAGCCAGTGATGATACGGTGGATGAAGTTTCCATTTACCTCTGTGCACTTTCAGGCATCCATTTTCTATCATTTTAATCTAATCCTGTAACAGAAGCCATGACTTGTACTGTTTCATCAGTTTGGCTGAAACTCCCCTGAAATTAAAGATGACAGTCTGCATTTCAGCCTCAGACAATGTGTAATTTTGCATCTTAACTCATAACAGTAGATTCAAGTGCTGAAACATGCTGATTACTGCATTATTTTGAGTGTAAACTACGGTTAATAACATTTTTATAACTGATCCAGCTCAATTTTTTTGTCTTGATTAAACAATGATTGTGCCACATATACAGTCAATGGAATAATTATTTGACCCCCTGCTGAATTAAGAAGTTTGCTCACTTTCAAGAAAAGATAAGTCTCTAATTTTCATAGCAGTTTCCTTTAAATGGGGAGACACAGAATACCAAGCAAAAATCTAGAAAAAAACCCCCACATTAAATTAAATAAATGCTATAAACTGACTTCTCTGTCATTTAGTGGAATAAGCATTTGAGCTCCAAGCAACATATGACGTAGCACTTGGTGGTCACTGGGTTTTCACATGTTTCAGGATGGATTTTGGCCCACTCCTCTTTATAGAAACTCTCTAAATCTTAAGGTTCTTCAAAGATTTTCTACTGAGGAGGACTGAAGTCTCGTAACTTGCTAGGCCAGTCCATGATTATGATGTGCTTCTAAGCAAGCCACTCCTTTGTTGCCTTGGCAGTGTGTTTCGATTGTTGTCATGCTGGAAGACCCAGCCACGAAGCAACAGCCCCAAAGCATAATGTTTCCACCTCCTTGAAGTTGGTGTTCTCTGGGTCATACACAGCACTTTCTTCCAAGCCTTCTCTGAATCATTCAGATGTTCACTTGAAACTTAAAATGGTCCTAAACATGTGCCTTCTTGAGCTGGGAGACCTTATGGGTGCTGCAAATATTAGTCCACTAGGCATAATGTATTTCCAGTGGTGTTCTTGGCGATTGTGGTCCCGACTGCCTTCTGTGTCTGCCGGCTTTCTCAGGATCCTCCTCACCTTGTGAGGCAAGATCTTCAGACTGAGGGCAATTGACGGTCATTTTATATTTCTTACATTTCCAAACAGTCACAGCAAAACTTGTCACCTTCTCACCAAGCTTCTTGTTGATGGTCTTTTAGACCGTTGCAGCCTTGTGCAGGTTTACAGTCTTGTTCTTAATATCCTTTGAGAGCTCTTTGCTCTTGCCCATGCTGGCAGAGATGTTGGACTGGAAGAAGCTGATTCAGAGGACAGGTCAGCTTTATACTCATAAAAAGTTTAGATCATTTATCGATTAATTGTAATCCGTGTACCACAAAAATAGCACATAGCTATCTGTATATTAGGAGACATAATTCTTGGTGGGTTGCATTGGATCAAATACTTGCTTTTTTCCTGGATTTTTGGATGATATTCTGTTTCTCACAAAAATTAAACTACTATAAAAATTTGAAACTGCATTTCTTTGTGAAAATTAAAGGTCATAGGACGGGATCAAATAATAATGTCTTAAAAACATGCAAAAGTGTCTGTTAACATACACCCAAAGCTAGTCTTAATCATCTTGTAGAGAGGCAGACAATATCTAGAGTTGTGTTTCAAGGATGACCAGAATAAAGACAATAACACACAATAACACAGATACTTGTGGAATAATTTCTGACTGTTAACTCAGTTCATCATTGCAGCTCTAGTGCATTAACAACATGCAGTATACAGTAAAAGACTCGTGTTTCTCCCCTCACTGAGATATGGGTCACACTGAACTCTTGAAATATTAAAGAAACAGTACGAAACTTGCTTTTATGCTGCAAGGTTTGGTGAAAAAAAGCATGACAAAGTGCCAAAGAAGCAGTGACTATAGATAACACTCACTCTCTGACCTCCTGGCTTTTGCCACTGGGTCAGTTCCCCAGTGTTGGAAGTGGGACTCTCTTTCTCCACTCTACTGCCCATCAGTGTTGGACTGTCAGGGCTTTGACAGGGTGTTTTCACCCCAGAGACAGAGACTCACTGCTGGGCTTTTACTTGAATGAGCACCTAAATCTGCAGAGGGGTCTGTTCTCCCCAAAGAACTCGGGAATCTGGAGCATTCCTTTCTTCACCCTTTTATGGAGGGACTGATTTACCAACATTTGCAGGAAATAAGCACTTGTATAAACCCCATATGATAAAGGGCATTAAGGTAAACTTGGAACCAGTGCTGGGAACATTTACTTCAATTTATGGCTCTAAGAACCCCTAGATGTCTGCTCATTTCTGATACCTCAATTCCCTATAGGTATCAGAACAGCTCGTCTTGACTCATTCATGGGTTTCGCAAAACTTCTGCTGGCTTATGCTTTGCATGGAAACAGCTAGCAATAGAGTATATTTAGGTTATTACACGTATCAATACCTAGATATATATTCAGATATAAGATAGAGACCACCTCAAGCAGGCCTAAGTCATTAAGGAAACCCAAGAATATTACAGAGCAGAGACAGGAGCAAGCCATCATACGGTGAGATTATGTTGACATTCCATTACTGGCTGCAACTCTAAACCATGGCAAAGGTTGTTAAACAAAGCCTGCAGTGAGGTTTAATAAATTATAAAGCAATCAGCACGAAAACAAGCGCATGATTAGGGCATTAGCTCTTTTAAGTTATTCATCAACCACTTCTATAATCAAATGAGCATTCCAGCCATGTATACACCAACAGGGGAAAGCACTGGTAGATGATAAATGGCAAATTTCCTTATTATTCTGTCATTAGGTGCTCTTCTTTAGTATACAGCTGTAAATCCAACCCATTGCTGTTTCTACAAAAAGAATTTGAAGACAAGTTTTGCATTAAAAATACTGAGACATGAAAAAAGCTAAAAAATAAATGGTGGGCTTAGATGGTGCAATCGCTTCCATTCATTTTTTACCTAGAATGTGTCTTTCCCAGAATTGAGGCTTTGCAATCAAACGCAGTTCACATGGAGTTTTAAGAAGAACAGGTTTGAAGAGGCAAATATTTACTTGTTGCAACAGGATGCTTAGGCTTTTGTGCCACTCGAGCACCGACTTCTGGAATGCAATATGTTAATGTTTCAGCAGGCTGTGCTCAATAGCCAGTAGTTAACCAACGAACAGCTCACACTACCTTCAAGCAGACCACTATAGGTGTAGGCTACTCATGCAACAGGCCAAGGAGCAGGAATAGCAAGAGTGAGTGACTTTGATTTTGCAGTTTTGATGGAAAGGTGTTGCCTTAAGTTGTGGTGGAACGCAAAAGTACAGGGAGGCGGAAAATACATTATTTTTGATCAAGTGAAAAATAAAAAATAATAATAATAGTAACCTGCTGAGTTTCGGCGCCTCTCCCTTAAGGGATCATCGATGATTTAAAAAAATGGATTTTGAATGCATCTTGACCAAAACTATACAAAGATCAAATTCATTTTGCCGCTGCAGTGTTTACTTTGCGGCTAAAATTACATGCTCGTATATACCTCCGAACTTTATTAATTAGTTGAACCTTACCTTGTAGACATTTTCCGTCAAACGGTGAACCTCGTCTGTGCGAGACATGGTGAAATCTTCAGCCAGGACCATAAACGTTGTTTTTTTACTTTAAACGTGTATCCGCGGAGAGAAAGGGGAAAAGAAAAAAAAAAAAACAGGGGAGAGACGGGTAAATGCACGAGTGCGAGCTAACAACAGGCGAGATAAGAGACCGAGTGGCTCTGCGCTCCCGAAACCCACTAACTAAACACACCTTCTCTCTCCACAGCTGACAGTCCGATGCTGCCTTTACGGTCTACTCGGAAGTTCTGATTTTTGTTGGGCTTCCTTTATTTTATTTTATTTTTTTTCGCAATCTCTTAAACACTGTGTGCGATGCGAAGATTTAAACAAAAGAAGTACAACATAGTATAACATTTTCCAGCTTTTGTTCACAAGTTTAAAAGTAAAATCGAATACATTCGGACGTATAGATTAGGGGTAAACAAGAATGAGAAAATATGAAGGGAGGGCTTTTATCCCCCAAAAGTATAAATTTTAAAAACCCAAACCAATTATTAAAGGCTGTCATGGTAGCCTACGTTATATGGCAATGAAAGTCACATAACGAAATTTCTACTACGTTGCGCGACGTGTTTTTGTTATACTAAACGGTTAAAATCATTATTTCCCACGGTAATAGAACGCAGCACCATCTTGTCAAAATGCAGATTTAGAGCCCGCCCCCTAAATCTCTACCATTACAAAATATTTGAGGCAAATTCGTTCTCGTAGCCACAAATTCCATGTATTTTAAAATATGTATGTTTGTCTATTCATATCGCTCCAGTGTTTACAATGATAAGCTTGGTAGAGTTATGCACAATAGGACCTAGCATATACCTTAACCTATAAACATATGTGACTAAGCATGGACAGCTGGTTAAAGTAGTGGGATCATCCTGCCAGTTTATCTCCATGCGCACCAGTAATCAGTAATAAATGATAGAGTCTCATTGTGGTGAATAAGCCATATTCCTCCGATTAAAGCCATTATACACCATGTAAATCTGCCTCAAGTATGCCTACTATTACATGAGGCTTTAGGGAAGTCGCACTGTACCTGTTACACCATAGGTGCTGTTTTTCCTCATAGGATAATTTGTGTTAGCTGCATTGTACATGCTAATTAGTGTCTAATTGCTGCTTAGTGTCAGATTGTAAATACTATATTTTCTTCCTTGTCTAAACATCACCCACATATTAGCAACATGAGATTTTGATTTTCTTTCAACAAGTACACACTAAGGGCACTCTAAATGAAGACACCTGTTATGTGGAGTGCGGTGTAGAAAAATACAAGTGAGGAGTGCCCCCTTCTGGAGAAAGTATGGTGCATATTTTCACTGGTATTTATTATTTTTATTAATTTTTCATTTTATGAAAATTACAAGAAAGACAAAAAATAATCAGTTGTGGACAAATAAAGACAGGACAGCGTTTGTTCCCACAGCTCAATTTAATATGTAAAGCTGTAAATAATGTGTAAGACATCTAAAAACTCCTGTTATTCTACAATAACAGCTACAATGCAACACTTCTCTTCCTAACCAAATCAGACACAGAGAAATAGAATATTTCACTTTATGCATGACTTAAGTGGAGCGGTGAACCAAGTACAGACAGTGCTGATGCTGTAAATTGTGTGAAGATGCACTGATGTGTGCAGGTCCCGTGTTCACATACCAAATCCCAGAAAAAAAGAAATCCACCTCTTTATGCAGCTTAACACTGGATACAGACCACACATTCAGTCTACTAGGCTGCCAACAGCTCTCTGTCTGGCTTGTTCTTTGCTTCTCGCCTCTCTAGAAAACACAAAATCAAAATAAAATAGTGTGACGTCAAACACTAATTTATGGTTGTTTAAGGAATGATTTGTTGAGTGAAAGATTAGATGTACCTGGCTCTGCTTTAGCTGCTTCTGACACCTCTGGTACTGGTTCACTGGGGACCTCTGGAAGTGCTACGTCTTCTTCCTGTTTCAGAAAGAGAGATTACGAAAGCCAGCTGACATATTTAGTTCCTGAAAAGCTGAAAAATTTGTGGACTCATTATCAAAGCAGTACTACAGAAAGTTGCACAACGATTTTATTTTAATTTTAGTTTAGGTGCATAATATATTGGACAAAGACAGTTTTTGACATTTTGGCTCGGCACACCAGAACAAGGGATTTTAGATTTTTTTAGAAATCAATTTGTGATTGAAGTACAGCAAACAGTATGCCATTAACTAGGAATTACATCCATTTTTATGCACAAACCTCCATTTTCCTAGACTCAAAATTAGTCACATAAACCAACATAATTTTAAATATAAGGACTGTTTCTAATACTTGTCTAAAAAGCCATTGCAGCAAAAGACTGCCTGAAGTCTAGAACCCACGGACATCAACAAAATGCTTTGTTTCTTTCCTTTAGATCCTCTGCTGTGGCATGTTCTGCATCCAGGTTTGCATTTAGTAACTGTAAAGCTATGTTGTGGTGGGATCAGGTCACACGTTTGGCCATTGAAGGATATCTCATTTCTTTGCCTTGAGAAACTCTTGTGCTGCTTTTGTAGTAAGCTTGGACATATATGCTCGAGTCATTATCTATGTGCTGCAGTTAGTTTTGCAGTATATGCCTGCATCTGAGCAGAGAGTACAGCGCTGTACACTTCAGAAATATTCCTACTACTTCAATCAGCAGGCACATCATCAATTAACACTAGTGGCCCAGATCCACTGACACCCCTACATGGCATAACATTGTCTCCTTTTCGTATGTCTGATAGATTTATTGTGTTCTTTTAGCCTGATGGCCTTTCTCAGTTTCACCGATATTTCTTTTGGCCTCATATTAAACCTTCTAAAAATCTTTTAAAAATCCACTGTGGTGGTGTTCAGAGGTAAAACTGCAAAAAATAGTTTTCTTTGCTCAATAAATGATGTTGTTTTTTCCCCAGATGATTCTATTGATTTTCAGATATATTCATTTTAATTGCCCCTCTTACAGACATTTTCTGGGAGGTCTCATGTTGTTTCCATGCATTACCTCTTTAGGTTTGTTTGTTTTTTTGCATTTACACCGTACTTCACAGTTTCCAAAACACTATAGCTCCTTCAAAATAAAATAATATTCCTCTTTTTTTTTTTTCTAAAATCAATTTCTGCTTCTTGTTGCTTCAGGTAATTTTTCTTTTTTCATCTTAAAACAACTTGTTAATCTTTATAATGAGCTTTCTATTCAGGAGTTGTTTTTTGTTTGTTTCCTGTTTGTAAAGATAATCTACAGAGAAATTTGCACTGGTGTAATTCATGCAGTATTTGGGTTTGTATAACTGATTTCATTGTACAATAGTGAGGTCTAGCAGTGTGGGAGGATATTTTTGTATGCATTTAAAAATTGTCTTTAAGAAGAAACACATTTAATTCAGCTTCAAATACAATAATATCTACTGCGCTACAATTTTATTTGCATAATTGTGTCAAACTGATTCTTAAAACTAGTCTTTGTACAAATGTGAAAAATAGTAATTTACAGCATGTAGTTTGACAGACATGTGAATGTGTAATTTAGGATAATAATTACATCATAAAAGAATAATCTTCTGAGGTTTTAATCACAATGAATTAACCAAATTCATACCCACAGTTGTTTCATATTCACTGTGTTATTATGCTACATTTATATTGTAATTAGCTTAAAAATTCTTCTTCTAAGTTTGCAACACAGTTTTCTTCTCTTCAAAAACCAGATTTCTATAGATTTAAGATTAAATGGCAACGTTCAGTTTAGGTGTGATATCCCTGCATGAGTCAACCGTGAATCACAGCTTTAACCACATAATTGCTCAAGTGGAAGCACTCAGTGGCCAGCAGTTGAATGCTGCGGTCACGCTCGGAGCCTTGGTGGGCGTAACTATTAGATGAAGTGGGGCGATAACAGCAAAAGAGCATGCATGCTTTGGAAATATTTTTAGTAATAACAAAGGTTTACAATGCAGTGTAACACCCACCTGAGTGATAGCTTCCAGCTCTGCTAAGACAGCATCCTCATCCTCTTGTGTCAGGACTCCAGCCAACATTTCATCTATTTGCTACAGGTGCATAAATGAAGCAATAAATTAAAAACAAACTAAATCGTTGATTTAAAAATTCTCTTAAAGTGATATGTATCATCCCAGAACATACACTACAATATGAAGGAAATAATTACTATTGGACATGTAGTTTAATCAAAACTCAGCTGATTTTTGGCATACATGCAGTACCGGTATTAATGATAGTTCTTTGGGGGTATATTTGATAAACATCAGTAAGGCATTTTACCCTTTGATAGTCAGTCGATTCCTGTGTCTCATCCAGGATTCTCTCCACATCTTCTATTGACATGATCTGTCATAATGTTACATTATACACTCATGTTTATAAATCTTAAGGTGGTATTAAAATATTTTGAAAATGCATAGTACAGGAAAAACAATGGAAAGCACTACCTCGTGCATGCTCTTCAGACAGTCGTTGCCAACTTTAAGTCCCTCAATGACTTTCATTTCAATTTGCATGAACTCAATGTCTTGAACCTGTTTAACAAACAATTACATTGTAAAAAATAGTTACATGAAATATAAATAAACAAAGCAACAAATCAAATAGTATTTGTCCCTTTTATTTTCTCATAAAATAGTGATTAAAGAGAGACTGAGTTAAAACAAACACTTTAAATTACACTATTTTTTGGTTTGGATTAGCATGAAATATAGTAACAAATCACAAGTAATCACAAAACAGTATTATATCACAAATGAATTTAAGGCCACAATGGACTTCTCAACTTTGGACCAATTTGCATTTAAGCAATCATATTATTAACAGTTATTTTGGAAACTGTTAAATACTGCAGAATTGAACTGGTCCACTCTCCCTTGGCACTGAATATCAAAGCCTGGTGGACTGATGCTATGAAACTTACCATGCGCTCGAGATTTGAAATCTGATTTTCGGTCTTTTCTAGTAACTGATCCTGGTACCGTTTTTTCTTAAGAAGCAACAGCGCTTTTCTGCAATAACAAATGAAAACACAAAGCATCATATAGCAAACAATATCTTTTGTTTACAGTACGAATACAGTGTGTACCGCTGCATGCCGAATAAAGTAAATTGAATTACAAAAGAGAAAACGGACTCTGTGCAGGAGTCATTAACTTGGGAAATTTTAAGTAGCATTATCCATATTTAAGTAAACCTCATTTGTTTACATTGTTGCCAGTATTCACAGTAGTGTAACTACATGCTGGTAGATATTGTGTAAGATCAAGACTTGTGCTTACTCCTTCTTGCCATCTTGTAGCAGCTGCTTTGCTAGACGTCGCTCTTTCTCCAGCTGCAAGGTGATTCTCTTTTGGTACTGCTTCAGCTTGTCTCTCTGCTGCTTCAGTTGCTGGACAAAATCCCCAAAGAGAAAATTAAAAAAACAACAACAACAACAATATAATATACACATTCCTTGCCATTTTATTGGGTACACCTTCCTAGCCATGAGTTAGATAAATATGTTGGTTCATACTGACATGACAGCATCACACAGTTGCAGCAGATCTGCACCACCCGTTACACCAAATCACAGTGGTGACTGTGAAGGCCATTTGAGTACAGTGGCTTCATTGCCACGATCAAACAAACAGTTTGAGTTGATCTGAGCTTTTGACATGGCGCATTATTCTGCTGGAACTAGCCACGAGAACAAGGATAGACTGTGCTTAGAGTCATGGATATAGTCAGCTACAATACTCAGGGAGGATGCAGCATTTAAATGTTGCCTATTTGGTACAAGATGGGGAGGGTGGATCAATGCTTTCATGTCGTTTACAAATTCTGACCCTACTATCTCAGTGTCTATGGTGCAATTTTGGTGAGCTCATGTGAACTGTAACCTAATTTTCCTGTTCTTAGCTGCTGTACCTCACCTGCTTCAAGGTTTGCGATGTTGTTTGAAACTTGCAGAAGACATGTTTTTCTGCATACCTTGGTGGTAATGAGTAGTAGTTACTGTTATCTTCTCATCAGCTCAAAGGAGTCTGCTCATTTGCTTATGAACTCTGCCATCATCAGGTCATTTTGAGAGAACTGCCTTTAGGAATGTAACAGCAGATCTGCCTCCATAGACGATCTCTTGCATCCTCTTCCGCTCTCCTTCCATATATCCATAATTGTGGTCTTTCTCTTCGCCTCCTGCCTGACAGCTTCATCTTTTACATCCTTTGCTACCATGTAATTGGCTGATTAGATATTAGATATTAGCCTTAAGCAGCAGTTAAACAGGAGTACTCAATATATTTTTTTTATCTACTAAAAAAGTAACGAAGAAATAGACACAAAAACACAAGGAAGAGGTCCATGAACTGATGTCGCATATTATAAATAGATGTACTCATTCAGTAGATATTTTATGAAACCAATACGACTATTCTGTGCTAAACGGAAGAGGGGAATACAGTTCTCACGAGATACGAGTCGCAGAGAAACCCAACAGTAAGCACATCGGGTGATAATAATTCATCTCGCCGTGTGACCACAGCACAAGACCGTGCAACCCCTAACACTAGCCCGATAACGGGGATGCTATAACCGCTATCAGCTCACCAAAATGGCTTTGTCCTGCTCCGTTACACGAGAAGGTCGACTCTTTCTCCCAAAGACGTTTCCCATTATTCAGCCACATCCCCGCCACATTCTCCCGTATCAACACAAAAAATATCACTTTTTGCTAAACATTTTGTAAATAGTAAATAGCCTAAAATGGCTAACAGGCTAACTGACTACACCATGCCCTCAGTTCTTTTTGTTTTCCGCGTTTCCTACGGCAAGCAAGGCAGGACGTATAATCCGAAGCGTTACATTACTTGATTATTAGAGCTCGTTGTTCTGATATTCATTCCTGTTATATTGTGACATGGTACGGGCGGTAACAGCTGCGCCTATTACTATGATAAAATGAATTCAACTGCAGATTTTATAGGGGGCACATGTTAAACACTCTCGCCGGACTGTTGGTACCTTGGAGAGCTTCCGCCTCTCCGGGGGTTCCAGGATCAGCACCATGGAGAGCAATCAAAAAACGTTTCCTCTAAAAATAGCAGATTTTGCTCAACATAAAGGCAGGAAATTAACAGACAGCTCTTGTATTATTTCACATTAGTAAGGTTTAGCAATGTGATAAGAGGACAGCATTCTAAATGACTCAATATTGTGCAAAAGTCTTGGAAACAGAGACAACTCTTATTTATTTTTAGTTTACTTCCAAGGAGCCAGACTAAGTTTTTCATTAGAGTTTGCCGTTGTGTCTACACATAAGAGACGTTTCGTGAAGTGCACATTTTAAACGGCACCTTTAGATACTTTTGTTACACCAGTATGTTGCGAAAAACATTTAGTTCCCATTTCTTCAGTTGAATCTACAAAAAACATCAAAGATAAAACGGTTAAACAGCTATAAAACTGTATTCTTGCACCAAAATGATTCTCAGCTATTAGACAAAAAATGTGACATACCAAAGTGTATATTTATTGTGTCAGGTTATGCCAGATTACATGAGAACTAGGCTGAAAATCATTGGCAACAGGCCTCCTGGAGTGATGAACTCAAATGTGAAATTTGGGTCAATACTGTATGTATGGAGAAGGTCAGGCAAGTGGTACAATAGTTAGCATCCATCTGTCAAACATAGAGGCTCTATCATGATCCAGGGCTACATTTCAGCCAGTGTTGGTTGTTGGGGGATCTTGTCAAATGTTGATATTGTTGGAATTATGAATATAGATAAGTATCATCAGATTTTGATCCAACATGCAATACTATCTGGAAAGGAACTGGTTGCCTGCAGCTTTATTTTTCAGCATGAAAATGATCCCAAACACAGCAAACACATACCTGGATAGAAAACACACAATGGAAGAGTATCAGTCATGCCCTGGGCTCCCCAGTGCCCGGACCTTGACATCACTGAAGCAGCGTGAGATCAGTTTGACAGAGAACAGAACAAAACACAGCCATAATACAAAGAAATGATCTGAAGACTACTTAAAGAAATGACAAGAAAGCTTACCTAAGAGAGTTAAGGCTGTGCTGAAGATTAAAGGTGGCCAAAGCAAATATTGACTTTTAAAGTTGTTAGTACTGTACAAACTATTTTTTATTTTTTTACTAATTACTAGTTTATTTGTGTTTTGTGGTAGGTTGAGTTTAATGTCTTGGCTGTTGTAACATAGACATCCCCGAATGTCATTTTTCTTACTCATAACACTACCATTTTTCTGTGATTCATAAATGATATGCAGAATAAAGTGTGCTGGGCTGAGGGGCATGCTTTGGAAAATAACTGTACTTCAAAAAGACATATTTTACGTGTATACCATCAACTATAGGGGAAGAATAGTATTTCAATAGATAGAAAAAAATCAGTATTGCTTGGCAGTCTGAAGGGAACTGTAGGAACAAGATGAAAGGCATTTGGTTCAAGCCAACCTTACCTATTAGAGCTTTGGAAAAACAAGACTTAATCCCTACTATAGTGTAATCCCTGTGATCTGCACTTTTTGTTTTGATCAGCGGCTACCCAGCCAATTAAGTCAACAGCTTGCAAAGAGTTTATTGGTTTATTTCAGTTCAACTTATAACACTACATAGACTTACAGGTGCACTGCAGGACACAGCAGCCTCTCCGATCAATGTGTTACAGAAAACATTTCTGACCACACTTTTCACCAACACTGACTACAGCCAGAAATGTATCAGGTTAGGGATCTCTGACGCAGTTTATTCTATTCCCAAGGTGCATAGAGAAGAATAAGATTCTGAAGTGGTCAAAGTCTTGTAGCATAAAGAACAATTTTATTATATTGAAGTGAAACAGGTGAATACTTCAAGGACACTGGTTTGCAGTTGTGTGTTGTGCATTTTTTGATTCTTGAGAAGTCTGCTCTTTCAAAGAGCTGACAGAGAACCATGCCTCTAAGACTCCCATTGCCCCATGCTATATCTCCAGGTACAGGTTATCACACCAAATCCCAGCCACACTAATGAAATTACTGCAGCAGGTCTTTCTAAGCCATCAGTGGAGAGCTAATAAGTAAACAATGGATCAACAAGTCTGAATATAGTATTTAATCATGAGACTTTCTGTACACATTAGCAAACATGAAGAAAAAAACAAACAGACATAACACATTTATTTAATAAAGTAGAGAATGTTCCTTGCATATTCAGTTTATTCTTTAAAAGCTAACTAGTAGCACTGAGTTCTGCATTCCAAAGTTTCTTTATAATTACTTGTATGGCCAATTTTGCTTTAATAGTGATAACAGTCAGTTATTATTTTATCATCTATGCCCATCTGACTTTTTGTTAAAGGCATCTTTGGCTAATGAAAACAAAACTATAATACTTGGTATTTGTTTTATTAACTCATTCATATTTTCCTGTATCCTTTCAAATCGCACCCTTGGAAATTACAAAAAGGACAAAAAAGAAACGATATTGCTGCCAAACAGAAGGATAAAGCAAAAAAAAAAAAAATCAAATGCCATGATGGAAGCCAGCCACTCACTTTACATCAAAATACTGACCGATGATTATATCCATGCACACCACCAGAATACTGAAAAGAGTTCAAAGACTGTGGATTTTGGTTCATAGAAAAGCTTACATTTGAGCAACAGTATTTCCATAAACCATGATAACGACAACAACAACAGCCTTCATATGAAACTGAACAGTCCTCTATATTAAAAACTTTCAGTGCTTTCCAGGGACTGCATTAGTGTGTCAGTGAGGCAACTACCTCATATTGCCTGCTTTAATGTCTCAGATTGGGACGGCGGGCTGTCACTCCTGCAAACAGAGTTATACCGTGACGACAGCCTTGTCGGTTGAAGCTTAGCATCTCAGATGAAGTACTGAAAGGGATTCAGTAGACAGCAGGCTACACCTGAAAATCAGTCCCAAAGTGTCTAATCTGGGCATCAGTCATGGATAGATAGGTAGCTCTCATGCTGGGTGAATACTGCCAGAGAAATACATGAGAAAAAAATCAGTTTAGAACATATGGACTTTAAAAAAGCACCTTTGATAGCATATGACATATTAATATGTTATTAACAGATCTAAGCTTGCAGAACACCTGTTTTAATTATAAGCTAGTCTTTAATCAAGAGTTGTGGAATCAGGGGATAGTACTATAAGGATGCGAGAAGTTAAAAAGCAGGAGGGCATAACAAGTTAGAATAAGTTACACTCACATGCAACACTCTGTGGGTTAAACAGTGCCAGGAAGCTGAGGTACTATGGAGCTTTAAAAGGGTCCCTGAGCTTTGAGATACAAGTTATAAACATTTTGCATATAGCAACCATCATTAGAAAGGTTTGCAGGGGGGGAAACATACAAAAATCAAGCAAATTAAGTCAGACAAGAGTGAAACAATAAGTCAAAGAATGGACATTTTAAAAAGGTGGGTAGAAAACATTGGTTAATATTCAATATTTAGATGCCTTATTGAGAAACTGATTATATAAAGGATAAGAAAATCACAGAAACGTCACAGAAAATTAAATAAATTAAATAACAACAGAAAAACAAACGTACTGCAAATATGTTTTCCAAAATAGCAAACATTTAAGTAACAGGAACAAATAACACATCTTGATGCATGCTGAAAATGTGATTTATAGAGGAAAGAATAGGTTTGAGCATAGTCCACGTTCACGCTCTCACACCTCAAATGGTGTTTCAAGTCTTTGGCACACTGTTAAAGCTGTTGAAGCACTGAGTCAGCCACACAAGCAGAAAACTTAATATAAAAGAAAACCAACCAACAGAGACTTTAACTGTGGATTTACAAGTGTTCTATCTATTATTTATCATTTAGCCCCAGCATTGGATGCACACCATGCACTTCTAGACTATGAGGCCCCTCCTTTAAAAATAGATACATGATGTGAGATTGAGCTGGCAGTATTGCTCGTTTCATCTTTAGATCTCTAATCTGACCTAAACTATTCCTTTTTGAGAACCAGAAATACAGTCCAGTGAAAACCACCAAATGTAAAAAGGATATATGACTGTAGTTATAGATTAGTAATGCACTAAAAATGAACACACTTCAGTCAACAGCCAGTAGATGTCAGTCTTCCATCATTTACAGAGCAACATAACTCCCTTCATTAACTGTTGAGGTTTTGTGCAGTGTATCAACATTGCTACATTTCTGGCACATGCTTCTTGTTAGTACTGTAGTGGGGCTGAGGCCAACTATGCCATCACTGCCATTAAACTAGGGACACTAGAGCCCCGTAGGGCCAACGCACCGAGGGAGGCGGGGATCCTCTCCCTATCAGTGGTACATTCTCATACCGAGGGGTTCCTCCAAACAGCATGGACTGATTCCTGTGAAACAAGGGGAAAGACATTAGACAGAGGTGAAACACATACATTAATAAAACAAGAAAAAATAAGCAGCGTCATCATTTGCTATTAAACTTACATGTATTCAGGGGGCGACACTACACTAGAAGTTGACTGAGGAGGTGGATGAAGGCTGGCCTGGCTGCCAAGGCTTGTGGTATAGCTACAGAAACTGTGCGTGTTGGACCTTCGGGGGTTATAGGATATCCGACGAGCTTGGGGGTTGAATGGATCCTCCTCATCTATGTCATCGTACTCTTTTTCCCTGCATGAAAGTGTACACCCGCGCACAGAGACAGAAAGAGAGAGTGCATGCGTTAACACTTTGCAGAAGTGCACTGTAGGCATTACTAATGGGGTAACGGGGTCGCTCAGCACTGACCTGCTGCCCATTAGTGTCCACACTCGGAAAATTACACACAGCATGGCAGAGAGTGCGCAGGCAGCCAGAAGAGAAAACAAAGAGAGGTAGAGGAGCCCTTCCACCCCATCATAGCACACACCCATGAGGGTATCAAGATAGTCCTAGAAGGATATATACATGCACACAGTCAATACGGTGAGTCACTAGCGGATATACTGTATTACCTTTGACAAATGACACCTGTGCAAATAATATTAAATTCCTTAAAAAGGCCAGATTATGTCTATGTTTAGACCATGAACAATGTTACAACTGAATCTGAAATTTAACCACCTCTCTGAGGAGGGCAGTAGGGCTGCAGGATTTCACAGCAGAGGTACCAAAAGGCAGAACTGAGACACGCAGACAAGCTCATGTTACTCTGATGATATGCATTACACAGATGCATTCTCATTTCGCATTGCTCGTTATATTTGACTAACAAGCTCTGAGAAACAGTCTTTGAATTTGTCTGGCATGTGTACTCAGTTACTGCATAAGCCTATATTTGCGGATCCTCATTACTGATGTTCATTACACATAACTATGGAATGTTTGTAGCCCTCCATTAACCATCATTTTGAGTAAGTCCCCAATCTGAACCTGATCTAACAATAAGGCAGCCCTAATATCTTAGCTTATCTTTATGGATTTGTTTAATCTCTGATAGGAAGGATTTAATAGAATTACCAGAGACTCTGCTGATCCAGAAACCTGCTTCTTGGGTTCCCATTACCACAGCAGACTCGTATCACAGCAGATGAGATGCTATTTTCATTAAATGATAAAACTCTGACAAAATGAAACCTGCAAAAGCCATTTCATTCCTTTTTCAGTCTGGAAAAACTGGAGGCGGCAAATAGTCGGTCTGTTACATACGCGGTGACTGACAATTTGAGTGGTGTATATAAATGTCAGCGTATGTGAAGTACATAGAGATAACGTTCGGAAAAATCAGTCAAGCTGGCCCTCTGAGTGGCTTTGAGCTACGCTACAAAGCAGTCCCATTAAAAAGTGTCCTGGTCAGAATCTGACCTTACCTTATGTAGCCCACGGCAGTCCAGCAAGGCTGTTAGCTTGTGTAGACTGAACTCTGTTGAGTTTAATAGTCGTTGGATTCCCAAAAGGTCTCTCTGTACAACAAGGTATAAAAGGGGAGAAGATGATACACACATTTCCACAGTCTAGTGTGAAAGTCTGTTAGCCAGCTGCGTACCTCAGCAGTGGGAAAGACCCGCACAGAGAACTGCAGCAAGCCTTGAATCTGGATTTGCATGGTAGTCAGGGAGCGCTGGCAAGTTGTCAAAGACTGGGAAAACATAATCACTCCAGCATCACACACATAGATATCCACCACAAACAATAAGAGGATCTTAATAAGGAGGGTATTGTTTAAGAGCAGCATGTCAACAAGTAATTTGGTGTTAAGTAAGGCTTTATCATGTGCTTAACAGAGGACACATTTGTTTCCAGACAGATTATCTTTTGCCACCAACCGTCTCGCCCACCACTCTCCCACCTCCCATTAGCACCACCAACCCATAGCACAAACAAAAGAGTAATATTTATACCAACTAGGCCATCAGAGAAAGGATCATCCTTACCTACTTAACAAGCATCAGTTTAATCCATAAATGGGTACGATGATAACCAAGCATGTAATGCATGTAATAACTACTGGTCATGTATTTATCCTCCACAAAAATCAGTGAATAGATGTCACACAGATGCAGAATCACTCATGCAAAAGAAATCCTCAGACTATACAAATAATACAAAACTTAAGAAGAAGCACTAAATTCTCTGAAATGTTGCCAGGAAAGTGTGTGTGACAGGAAAATGGATATAACTTGAATCTGGGCATCAGATTCACAATTAAAGCAAAAGAAAACACACAGAGAGCCAAACATGGATGGATGTTTATTAGACGAGGCTATATGTCTAAGTGAGTTCTGAATAGCAGGAGTTAAGTGCCAAGGTTGTGTTATTCAAACTGGTTTTATTGAGACTGTACGACAGCTGTCTTTCTGCAGTTTCTCTTCAGAAAACAATTTATCTGCATTTCAGACACCAATAATTAGCTTGTTTGGAACATGCAAAAGGTTCTCAATGTTTCTTTGAAAAGGCATACAAACAAAAAATGATGATTTATATATTTAAACTCAAAAATAAACCAACACAACTTGAGTGCTCTATGAAGAGCGGCTGGCTTAATGCAGGATGTCAGAAAATTGAATAAAAATGTTTCTAGCAGGAGTACCAGGGGGAAAGAACTTTGCACAGGGTATAAGATGCAGATAGTTTTTATACACCTATACAAAAAGAAGCATACTTTATCAAACTTTAGCATTTTGCATGATTAAATCAGGCTCACTTTGGCCTCCAAAAAGATATAGATGCTTGGCATCTAATGGTAAATAAATGAATAATAAGAGTCTGCAGTGTGCTAACACAAAGCTAAGATTGGACTTTTAGTCAGTACCTGTTGAAACGGGTTTGGTAGATTCGGACTGCAAAACAAATAATAGTGTGCAACATCTAGAAGGTGAAAGAAATAGAAAGATTAGCATTTTGTTTAAACAGCCATTGACAGAGAGATGTTTTCAGTACAAATCTGTCTGTGGACATTAATTACCTGCACTTAGAAAATCCTTGGTATGGTTGACAATAAACTTGTCTGGAGACACACAAAAGTCACTTATACCCTGTAGGAAAAAAAAGGGGGAAAAAAAACAACCTCCTATTATATACACCAGGAAGCACATATAAAGTGCAAAAACTGTGTGGTATAGGAACAGACTTTAAACATCATTGACCGTGTAGAGCATGTCACACTTTGCTGACCATGGGTGAAATCTACTAAATATTTCCACGCGTTTTAATTCTTCCCCAGAGAGCTGCTAATGTGCATGCATAAACAGTTAGGGGTCAAGATCATGCAATTGCTGTACACTTAGTACCCAGAACATAAAATAACCCACACAAAGCTATTATAAAAAAGCAAATATAACAAAAAAATAACCAGAATGCTTTGTCATATGCATGGATAATTCACAGCTGGGGAAACAAGATACTCTTTAAATTTATTAAGTTAAAAGAGAACAAAGAATCTGTTATGGTGAAGGATCCAACATCAGTTTTATATCCGTTCTTATTTTATGACATCTCCAATAAAGAAAAATATTTCTAGAGCTTCTCAATGTAAATGATAACTCAAAAGACAACAGCCAATCAAAAGTTAAACAGTACAGTATGAAATTACAAATAAAAAAAGAAAAAAAAACTTAGGCTTACACAAAAATCAGTTCTACTTCCTGTTCTAGCCTTTCTACTTACCCCATTTTACTTTCAGATGTTCAACACACCCTTAACTCAACTGTGATCATGTGACTTTGTTTTCTGCAAAAACCGTACAGCACCATGCGAGGCACCGTTATCTCATTATACTATCGGGGACATTTTGTTTATGCTAAGCCTCATCAAATATGTATAAATTTATGAATATTTTCTAGGACACAACCATCATCCACCTTCCTTTCAAAATGCACTGTGTTTTTGCACATGCAGGTTTTTCTCTCTCTTTTTTTTAATAATGATGTGCAGGTGCAATATGTTTTCTAGCTTGTTTTGCATGCTGTCCTACATTTCAGCTTCAATCATTCAAGACTGTTTTTTGATAAACAACTGTGACTAGATTTCCTATAACAAAAGCTAGTCACAGATTGCATTGAGAGTACCTCAACTTAAGACAAAACAGAGTTGGAGGGAGAGCTGCATGCTAGAACAACAAGCGTTAAGCCTGAAAGGTCAGAAGTTTTACTGCAGAGTCCTTTTTCAACTATAATGAGGGGAGCAAAGCAACAGACGCTGTCCAGGATTTCGCACATTTGGCTTTACATCTGCAGAGAAGCTCACAGAGAACCACAGATGTCTGTGAATCGCACACATGTAGTTAATTTCAGGTTAAAATATGCTATCTTCCCCGCTCTGTTTCACCCTCTCTTTTACTGCCTCACTTAAAACAGCTGTCCAGATGTCAGATCCAGCAGGATAATCCACAGATGTTTGGTTTCTCGGCGTGGGGGATGGAGGAATGCTGGAACAAACGGGTTATTATTTTTTTTTTTGTACCCCAGACACTGTCCCTAATAAGAGCACCATTAAACACACCAAGTCCAGATGCTCCGAACACATGGTGTACAACCAGGAAGAGAGAACAATCTTTCAGAAATAAGGGGAGCCTGAAAGATAAAATGAAACTTTGGACGATCACAAAAGAGATTCTGAAGAAAGCAGAGGCAGCAATTAAAGGAACAAAAGTTCTTGGTTTACAGGAAGGCTAAGGGATGATGGACCTAAAAGACTAAGGATGTGTAATCAGCTTTACTGCCTGGGTGACCTTGGAAAGCGAGCCATTGTAATCTAGACAAACAGACACAGACACTTTTTAAGCTGCTAAGATGTTCATGTATTGTCCAGTTTTACTGGCAGGCACTTGTTTGGGGTTTATTTAGAACCCCAACAGTCTAATTTCAATATTTCTAATCAAAGTTTGAAGTGTACTTCAGAAGTAGCAGAAGTATAGTTTTCTTACCACAGCTGTAGCAGTGTCAACTCCCAGTGAGGCCCAGCTCAGAATCAGAGATAGTATAACAAAACCAATGATCCTAGTGGAAAACAGCACATGGGAGTGAGGGTGACAGATTAAGAGATATAGGGAGAATCACATAAATCACAGAATCAGATGAATCAGTTTTCCTTTGTGCCACTGATATTCAGCCCCATGTTTTTACCCTGTTAATTTAATTAAATCTTTCCAGTTTCTCTGCTTCTGTTTTGGGACTTGTTCTCCTTCTGCCTGGAGACAGAGGCTCAGCTCACATGGTGCATTGTAAGTGATACAAATATAAATGAACTTGTAATTCTTTGCATTCTTATCTTAATATCCCTATATTTATTTATTTTTAAAAAAAGCTTTAGCAAAAAGAAGATTAAAAAAAGAAAACTAAGTAATATGAAATTTAGTAACTGCTCAATAGAACACTTAATGCCAAAACAAAGGATAATACCACTTGAGATTTGTTTCTTTGGTCATTCATGCATTCCTGCTGCATTCCAGCACTTTTATTCCCTGTATTTTCTATCAATCATGTTACATAAGCTGCCAATCACTACAAGGTGTCACAGTCAACCAAAAGCTCCCGCAACCTTTGCTTTCTCTGACCCTTCTTTTATCTGATTCCTTTTGTTGAAAAAGAGTGACAAGTTCAACAAAGTCAAGTAAACACTGTGGAAGAGCTCACAAGTACGAGTTTTACAAGAGACCACTGGCATAAGCTTGAAAAAAAAAAAAGAAAAAGAAAGAGGCTATGAACATGAAGTAGACGAAACAATAAAAAGGAAGAGGATGCTTCCCCCTCCCCCCGATGAATGTTAAAAAAAAAAAAAAAAAAAAAAAAAAAAAGGCAGAAGAGGGCTTTGCTTCTCAACTCACTCCACGGACCTTCTTGAAAGCACCAATAAAGTAGGCTGAGAGCACTTAATAATTAGTTAAGGGAGCAGATTCATCCTACTCAGCCGATCAATAGGCATTAGTGAAACCCATCAGAGAGGGATGTGAAGAGCGAGCCTGAGCATCATCTGCTAACACTGACACGCAGGTTGCAATAAATTGGGCAAATGGGAAGGGAAGTCTGAATTGTGGGTATGCTGGTCAGACATCAGTGTTGGTTCAAAATACCTGTGGTAATTCACTAAATCAAATGTTCAACTCTTCTTTCAGAGGTTTGCATTTTACTTCACTTGGTTTAATGTGTGTGTGTGTGTGTGTGTGTGTGTGTGTGTGTGTGTGTGTGTGTGTGTGTGTGTGTGTGTGTGTGTGTGTGTGTGTGTGTCAGAGGTGGCCTTCACCTGCATGTGGAAATAAGACAATTCACTGAGGAGAGGAGTAAGGCCCAGTGCCTTTGTAAGTGCTATTTGAAGAAGTAATGCTATCATTTTTGTTGTTAATGGAGTGACCTATACGGTGCCAGAGAAGCTGACTGGCGCCCTGTCTGTCTGAAGTCTGTGAGAAAAGGCCGATGAAAACAAAGATGTATTGCGAGGGGGGTGAAAAAAAGAGAAGAAAAGAACTCACACAAAAGACGTACAGTACAGAGAATACCTTCACAGAAACAGTCAGGGTACCTACATGATCAGCAGATACTGAGAATGCTTGGCCATACCCAAGCACATGGCCAAGCAGATAACCAGATCCAGGATCAGTAGCAGCAAATAAATCAGCCATCTACAAGACATGAAAAATAAGCATTTTATTTACAGACGGCATATTTCATGCAAATTTACAAGCACCAGGAAGTACTGGCTGAACATATGCCTGCAACAGTACTCGTGAGAGCTTTGTGTAGTTTATCAGCATTCATGTCGCATAGTTGCAGCCCATCTGTTTCAGGTAATTTCCGGCTTGTTGGTTTAATAATTCAACACCAGAAATCTATATACATTAATTTTTAATTTTCCTTTGAAAATGTCCTTCACAGGAATAGAATAGCCAATGTTTGTGTGTGCGTTTGTGTGGTCTGACCAGCCAAACACAGAAAAATGACTATGACTGTTTGTTAGCTCCACAATTCCAGCATACTGGAAAAAAAATCTATAATTTCCAAGAATTGGACATTATGGTCTTTTAGCGGCATTGTGTTGAACATGATTACGCTTAAAATGGCCATTAGAAATACAATGACAAGATCCTCAAGGTGACGTAATATACTCTCCCAGCCCTTTTTACAGTTTGACTTATGACCAACCATAATTAGCAGGTTCAAGTAAGTGTTGGGATATTTCAGTCTGAAAGTCAACGAGTTCACAAAACCATCACTTTGATTATAACTGTGAATATTTTGTCTTTTTGTTGTCTTGAATAATGACATTTGCTGTTTGCACTGGCAAAACAGGAGTCCAAGCTCACAATCCAATAGCTGCATGAAACTCGATTATGACCCAGAAGATTGGTGTCAAATATCTGCAGTCTAAAAGAAGATGTGGTAATAGGATACAAGGAACAAGTGAGTATGGGAGTATGGATGCATGCAATTAATGGAACGGATATTATGTCTCTACCGGTGGTACAATGGCAGCTATGTTTGAACTTTTTCAAATGTCATGAATAACAGACATCAATACTGTAGCTGATATAAAGGAATAGATGAAAATACAGAAACATGTACATCCCATTCAAAGGGAATTCCATAACCTATACACATATTTAACAAAAAAAAAAGAATAATTATCTTATCTTATCACTCAAGTTCAAATAGATGAAATAGTTATTAAGGTGTTGAAACACGTAGAATGAAGTTTTATATAAGACAGTTATTACAGAGGAGTTCAACTGCATCAAAAACCTTTAGTATGTGGCACAAACACCCAAATCCTCTGTAAACAAACTGAATGCATCCGATGCTGTCTAAAACTACCTACTCTGTACATAACTATGGGCTAGGTGACTCAAACAGCTTTCCACAGAGACGGAGAAATGAGCCTGAAATAAATGGTGCTTTTAACTACCTTGGTGCACTCGGCTACACATGCAGGAGGAATGCATATATTCACAACTTTAGGGAAAGTGATTTAATTTAACTGTGTATACTGAAGCACTTGTAAGAAATGTTTGCAATAAAATACCTCCATAATGTACAATTTTTTTTTACCTTCATCAGCATAAGTAGAATAATCTTTCATTTTTTTTCAATATTTCACCTTTCATCCAGCTTTTACTGGCTGGTGTATTGGAAAACATGTTGGACCATTAACATAAACACCTAAACAACCTACTTCTGGCATGCAAGCTGGGAGAAAAGTGGTCTGAGTATTTCAAATAACCACTCATTATAACAAAAGATATGCATAAGAGCATCTCTGAACACACAACATGGTGTGGTCTTCTGCAACAGCAAGTCCACAATGTAAGGCAGGAACTGAGTTTATAATTTGCATGAGCTCACTAAAATTGGACAACAGATTATTGGAGTTGCTACCTGACTGGATGAGTCTTGATTTCTGCTAAAACATTTGGATGATAGGGTTAGAAGTTGATGTTGGTAGTAAGAAAACACGGAGTCATCCTGTTCTATATCAACAATTCATGTTGGTTCTAATAGTTTGTGGCATATTTTCTCGGCATACTTTCAGCTCCACAGTCAGGGCAGTCTGAGTATTTCAAATAACTACTCATTATACCACAGATATGCAGAAGAGTATCTCTGAACACACTGAACACAGTTGCATTAGCTCAATAAAATTATGTAGCATATCAAGCATATCAATGGGATGGCTACAGGTTGAAGACATGAAGCTATTCTGTATCTATAGTTATGGGAAAGAAAAGCAAGTCACCAGGTCTCAGTCCAATAAAGCACCTCTGGAACTCTTGTGGAACCAGAGATTCACATCGTGGATGTGCAACAAAATCTCTGAGGAATGTTTCCAGCACCTTACTGATTATATGATGCAAATAATTAAGGCAGTTCTGAAGGCAAAAGGGTGTCAACCTGGTACTAGTAAGGTGTAATGAAGCAGCTGGTGAGCGTATTCTATCAGCTGAACCTATAAACAGCACTTTAGTTAACATCTAAGATGACAATTATATTGTATGATCCCCCACACTGACACAAGATAAACCCTAGCTCCTGAGTGGCATTAGGCAAGTGTGACTCAGGAGCCTCTTGTGTCACTAATAAATGAATTCCTACAGCTGAAGCTACCACATCACCCTGAAGGAACATATTTTCATCGATTCAAATCTATGCTTAAAATAAAGTGGGGAACAGGCTTGCTGGAAACCTTAGTGCACAGCATGATCTGTCTTTAAAGTCTTATGCACCTAAATATAAAAAGAATCAACAGAAGATCATAAGAATTGATTCACAGTTTGTTACAGCAGCATTTTAAGCTTTCTAAATTAGTCTCCACTAACAACCGAATATTTTTTTATTCATTTGGAATAATTTATTACTGATTGAGTTTAATATTTTTTTCTGTTTTCTGATTTGATTCTTTTTATCCCTCTTAACATTTTGAAATGAACACATTTCTTAAAAAGAAAACAGCATCAGTATTATAACTGGAATGAATGTGAGCACAAGTCTGCAGGTAAGGAGCTCATTAACAGCCTAATAGTCACTCTGCCACGTATAACGTTTTATGAGAGCAATTCATATTAGAGTTGAACCCGCACAGTGGGGGGAAAAGCTCAATTTCAGCTTTCATTTATTTAGCAATTAGGAAAAATAGCTTTTCCGGTCTGTGTTCCGGATGGGAGATCAATAAAATCCCATCTGCTGTGCCTGTTCTGGATCACTTACAGTCCCATTCTGAGCAGTGCATTTACTTCATTCACATGCAGATAAAAAAAAGAAAAGAAAAGTGAACTACCCAGGGGACGTATTAAGGCACCACCTACCTGTAATACTCAATGAAGGCTGTCTGGTCTGCAATGGCTGCCAAGTCGAAATTGGTTTTGTTGATGTCTGGAAGAACAGTCAGCTCACGGATGACATTGTTGACCATCAGCTGCATAAAACGTAAAGCTTGAAGGTAGTCAGGCCTTGTAGAAAAGATCTCATCCAGGCGTTCCAGGTGCTGTTTGAGTGCAGTTTCCACATTGCCCAGTGAGCCTGCAACCTAAAAAACAAAAAGCAAAGAGAAATAAAAAACATAAAGAATGAATAGAAGACCACGAGGACAAAATAAAAAGGCAAAGGGGGTCAAAAGAAGTAAAAGAGAAAATAGGGTCAGAATGAAACAGGAATATAAACTCATAAACAAATATTCTTTTAAAAGCTGATTGAAAATATAGAGAAAGGTGAAAGAAACAAAGAAGCACTCACTCGAGAAAAGATTAACTTTTCTCCTCAACCATGTGTTTTATTCAGATAAACAATGTTAGAGTAGAATACTGATAAGAAAACCGGGGAGACCTCTTATCACACAGGTCTTTGATAGTGAGAACAGAGTGGGTGGAAGCATGGAAGAAAAGAGCAAATACATTTTCCTTTTTTATTTGAGCAAGAAAAAAAGAAAAAGAAATAAAAAAAATGTGACACAGCAAATGCTTCTACTTTCACAGCAGCAACAGAACTAGAAACAAGTAGATTTAAACACTAATGGGAAACAGAGTTAAAACCACAATATCTTGACCTCATTATGTGTATTATTCTCTTTTAAAGTGATATTAGTAACTGGAGATGGCACGATACCACTTTTTTAATGTCCGATACCGATATCATAAATTTGGACATCTGCCGATACCGATATGACTCCGATATAGTGTGTTTTTTAATCAATAAAACTGTTTTTTTAATATCTTGCTGCTTTTTGTATAGTTCATACTCAAGTTAAAAAAACAAACAAACACTAAAGCTATTCTGATATACCTGTATGCAAAAAATACACTGCACCCAAAATATTTCATAGTTTAGCAATACTGATCAATCTAATAAACTTAAACCTCCTCCATCCTCCCTATTCTGGTATCTTAAAGAGTACATAGCAGACATATTAAGCAACATAACTAATAGGGTTGCAAACTCCCAGAAAAAAAAGGGAACCACCCACCCTCCACCTCGTGATACTTAATCGACGCAATCAACTTTAATTTGATGCAGTGTGAAAAAAATGCACAGAAATCAATTATTTTTCAAGAATAATTAAATAGATTCAACCTCTTTCTTCAACAGAACTGCAGACTGCACAGATGGTACCTTCCCAGAGGAAAAAGTAGTATAGCTTACTAGAGTATATTAGACTTAATAGTTACTATATCCAGTAATGGACTTCTATACATTTTACATCAGATTAAAACTTTGGGTGTAAGATAATTATTTATTAAAAGCTAGACATTTTAAATGAGAATAAGAAAGAAAAGTATGTCTTTGTGCCCCCCTTTTCCCTGTTAATGCCCTATCGGCCCCCTGGCTAAACTTTGCTAGATCCGCCCCTGCACAGTTACCAGCCGTCAGCTACGTAGAAAAAGATCTTGGTGTAGAAAGTAATATTAAATAAATTCTAACAACAGCTTAAGCTTAAACGTGCTGCTGTTGTTCAGCTGCTGGTTTCCTCTTTCTGGCGCGAAGTGGGCCAAAAACAAACAAGAGAGACGGACTCGTGACAGAAAAGCCAATAGGCTGATCATTGATCTGTTTCATGATTGAAGTAGCAGCAGGAGAGGGAGAGAGAGAGGCAGTCGCTCCATATATCGGTTGTTAAGCTTAACACGGGGATGCTTTACAAACATTCAGAGATGAACTTACACACTTGCTTTACTTCTCTCTGGGATAACTTCCTCAGAGATGAAATGCCAGATTGGTAGCGAGGCTACAAATACACACAGCCGCTCTATCACGTGACGCATACTGCTCCGACGTGCTACGGTTATGAGCCGAGTTAGGCCATGTCACAAGTTTTGTGAGGTGCTTTTTTGATATTTAATGGATCGGATTACATTTTTTATTTCTCTCCGATATCCGATCAGTAATTTACGTCAGTATCGGACCGATACCGATACGTACCGGTAATATCGGATCGGTCCATCTCTATTAGTAACACAATCTGCTCTGCAAATGTGAATGGAAGGGTAATCCTACTGTTGAAAGTGAAAATATAACACCAAAGCAAGCACATCACAATGTTTTTTCAGATCATCTCATCTCAGGTCATCTCATTCTGGTTTCCTGACAGACAGTGAGTTCACTGTACTCAAATGGCCTGTGCAGTCACCAGAACTCAATCCAATAATGCTACTCTGGGATGTGTGGAGTGGGAGATTCACAACATGGATGTGCAGCTGACAAATCTGCAGCAACCATGCGATCATGTCAGTGTCTGGTGAGTGCATTGTGGATACTGCACTAGTTAAAATTTGGCACGTTTCACCGATTTCACTGACCTGCATGAAAGGCAGATACTTTTTGAAAGCAATAAATACAAACACATTTCATATCTCGTCTTTCTAAAACTGGAATTTGGTTGGAATTTGCAATGTGTGGCCTTCTATTTTTACTGATACTTTTACACAGGGATGGAATAGGAAAGAAATTGGCCAGATTGAGATTATCATCAGTCGGATAAACAACAGGGAGCAACATGTTCCTGTCGGTTTAACTTTTGCACAAAGACTAGACACTGGGTAAAACAGCCTAACATCTGTTATATTACAACCTGGGCTGTGCCCAGCTGCATCTAGCTCTAAGCGGGGACTCTATGCCAATCTCTGTTGCTAATAATGGTGAATTATTTTCAAACCGTTTAAAAGAATATCGGTGGATCTGTGTATCTTTAGATTGAGGCAAGTTTGCAATTTCCAGTCTTTGTGCTGGACTATTTATCTGTTTAAGGAAAAACCTTCAACAATGATTAAAAAACAAGCTTGATTTTTGGCAAAAAATTATGTACTTTTAGATATTAAAAAAAAATCCCTTAGAGATCTCCAAAGCTCAGTTTAGTTTGACACCCCCACCAAAATGACTTTGCTAGAGCACTTAACGTTACAGTGAGTAGGAGGCCCCACTAATTCTGAACAGATGCTACTTTGCAGCAGCTCTGCTTTTGTTATCTATTATCTTTCCTCCATTATAACCACGGCTTCTTCAACACATTGAAGAATTCTGAGGAAGCCTGTGTATTCTCACACTATGAAAACTCACCACAAAGATAAACACGTATCTACTTCTCCTTGACACTTCAACTTTTCAAATACTTCTGATTAAATTTTACTGAGCTGAAGTGCCTGATGGTTTGAGTAAGACCTTAGAAAGTTGATCCATGTAGAGATGCACCAAAGATAAAGCCCATTTTCAATCCAGCTATCCCAAGGGGTGGAGCGTACGATTGCCAGTAAAGTGTTCTCACTCCCACCTCTATGTTCATCATCCCTCACAGCTCCTGCCACAATGCCTCAAATCTTATCTGCAAGCCAGTCTGCCTGCCTGTGAGAAATTGGATCAATCAGCTAGCTGCTCTGGGTGATCCACATTTCCCTAATCTCGACTGTCCCGTCTTTCTTTAAAATGGATTAAAGCTCGCTTTTACTGAAAGCGGGTCACAAGGAGGAGTCTCCATTTTGGACATGGCTGTTAAATGAGACCGATTTGGGGCTCAGAGCGGCTCTGCTCAAAAGCCCAATTTAACATGCAACCGAATTGTTCTGCTTAATGCCTTCAGTGATTTTTATATAAGATTAACTGTATTAGGTGTGACAATAAAACAAAATATAGCACTTTAAAGTGAAGTGAGGTTATACATTGAGAAATAAGACCCTGAGGAGAGACATTTAAAGGGAACTGATGTATGGTGCAGGAAGCCGCAATCATTTTGTTCCAAGAATCACAAGCCAGCTTTCACTTTCAAAAGAAGAAGAATTATATGTAAGAGAGTTACCACTGCTGTATATTGGAGGCACACATTTTTATCGAGTATGGCTCCCATGTTTTCTCATCCATAATTTTGCGGAAGCACTGAAGAGCCCTTAATATTGCAACCTGAACACTGAATATAAGGATGAAATATAGATTGCTGTGAACATTCAAAGCCTCAATAGCAAAGGGAAAATTGTCTTCCTTATCAAATATTTCCTTCTATGATGCATGATAATCCCTCGCAGAGTGTAAGAGTGCATATTTTGTGATTAGAAGAGCCTTACAAAGCAATCAGTAGAGCTAAACAGCTCCTACTGTAAATCTCAACCCTCACTGGAGCCCCAGGGAAGTAGAGATTGGTTGTTCTCATTCCCATTTACTTTACTCGACAGATATGATATTAACTCAGAATGTGAAATGCAAAATAGAAAAGGAAAATTGTCTTTATATTAAAGCAAATTACTGAAATAATTAACTTTAATCCAATAAAATATCAATGAAAGGTCAAGAACACAACCAAACACAAGTTAAAGCACCTTCAGATTTGCAGGAGTACCTGTCAGTAAGCTCATCAGCTCTGTAAGTAGAGTACACTGCATCAAACTATAATTTTACAGAGAATGCTTTTGTATCCCCGGGGGAACATCTAAGCTTCTCATGCAGCCATAGTATACAGTACATCATGCTCTAGGATCAAATCAATACCAAGATACCTCAGAGAGCATCAGTAGCAAGGATGCAGAATCACCAAAGCCAAATCCCATTTACTTCCCACAGCACAAAAGCACTACACCCTTTTCTAGGTTATTTGCTCTACCAAGCTCAAAATAATATAGTACAACACAAGGGCCCAGAAATATATACAGCCTATTATGAAGGCCATAATGTTTTAGTTTGTGTGTGAAACTGCTTTAGAGAGGTGTCGATCCAACCTCATTTTTGAGGCTACAGTTTGTGATGCTGCTGAATATTGCATGATAAAGAGAAATGTTTGTGGTGATAAATGTTGTCAGGCACATTTATATCAATGAAGGTATAAACTAACAGAGCTTTCCCTATGACCATTACACCAAATCAAGACCTTACTTTCTAACCAAAAATGAGGAAATATGCATCTTTTTATATTTACATGATCACTAATCTGTTTGTGTTCATACATTAATACAATATGTGTGCACATCAGGACTTTAAGAGCACGTGTGATACCGACACCACCATGTACACAAACACACACATATAGTGGCGATAGTGAGACTGAGCGTGATCGAAAGAGCAGAAGCTTAGCATCCATTAATGCACTGCAGATGGGAGTTAATCCTCTCCCTGCTCATTGTGATTATTGCTTCTTGCAAGGCCCTTTTCTGATGCCTTTGCACTCCTTCCTCTTCCTTTCCCACATCAACCCTAAGCCTCCCAAACAACTTCCTCGAATGCAGGTCAGGACATGTACAGAAATAATCCCTATTTACAAATCCTGAGACAGCAGGCACCTCAATTCCTTTACTGTGACAAAAAGTGGATACAGACCCCCTGTGGGGTGGTGCTGCTGCATTGAGACAGATGCACGGCCCATTAAAGTGGAGGAGCTGCGGTGTTTATCAGCTGTAAAACAGAGCTTTATCGTTATGCTTCTGCCATCATCAGATTGTTGGTAATTGGCAGTAATATATGAAGCATTTTCTCTGCAGAATTCTTTTTCGTATTTCTACACAACTCTGATACACACTTTGCCGGTTCATCCCACAATTACTCAGCTGTTATAAACAAAGCATTTGAGAACACAACACGTTTGATTTTTATGATTCTACAATTGCAGAAATATAGAGCAGAGTTTGGCAGGGTTCTCTCACCAGATTGTTGATGTTACCCAGTGTGCGATTGGCATTGTAGAGTGAATAGTTCATCTGGTACACCCCATCGTTGGTTTCACTGTTCCCATAGAAACCCACTCCAACAGCAGAACTGGGGAAGACAGAAATTCATACAAAATAAATCAATAAAAGAAAATATTGGTATGTATGGGGTCATTACAGTGGAACTAAGATGGATGTCATTAAGTTAAAAAAGAAAAAGAAAGGGGATGTAAGTTTTAAACAATGCTGCATGTGTTAATGTAATATTATCAAAGAGTATAATTTGTTCTGCTTTGATTTGTTCTTTTCCCTCACTACATTATGTGCAGGAAAAAAAAAAAAATCACAGCAGATTATAAAAGTGCATTTTATATTCTTCCTTTCTTCAGTTTCCATCTGCTTTGCTTATTGTTATCTTTACCTTTTGCACTTTACCTGAAAATGACTTTTCAGTACAAGTAAAAGCTTTTCAACTAAATGTACAGTACTGTGCAAAAGTTTTAAGCCCCTGCTTACATTTTGCTAGCAAAGCAGGAAATGGGTGCTGTGATTTGTTAAAACGTGCAATCACAAATGGAAATACAGTATATAAGGGAAACAGACTTTCTTGTAATTTCTCTAAGCAGTCTTCAAGAACAGTTCTCCAGGCTTCTTGAAAGACATTTAAAGCTCTTCTTTGGATGTTGGCTGCATTTTGTTCCATTGTCTGTCAAGATGATCCCTCACTGCTTCACTAATGTTGATGTCTGCATTCTGGGTAGGCCAGGCATGCTTCTGCTGCATTGGGAGTGTGTTTAGGATTGTTGTCAATTGGATGCTTTCCAGACTGCATTGGGCATCGGATCAACATGACGGTACTTTTCCGCACTTGCAATTCCATCAATTCTAAAAACTGTACTGATGACATAAATACTGATGACTAATTAAGAAAAAAAAATTCAAATTTGGATTCATCCCTCAGCAAGGCCCAAGTCTTACTGAGCTGTAGATATGTTTTTCAGTCCTTCTACTTCTTCTTGTGTCTTCCATTTGTTCAGGTACCTCGAACTTTTTAAAGACACATTACATGCTATGCCAAGTTTTTGACCAATAGCTCTTTGGCAATCAAGTTTTCTGTTATGTGTAGACACACCACTAATTAATTCCATTAATTCATTGCAAAATATTACAAGAAAGTATGGCTCCTTTGAAGCTATATATGTGTAAAGAAAATGGTGGCTGACTTGTACAATATAATGAGATGTTTTGTTCGATATTCAAGCAGGTATGTGAATGGAATATAAAATCCCTTTTTCTTACCTACATTTAGCCTTTTGAAACTACGCCTCAGCCCCTGTAATAGGGAGGATTAGTGTCCTAACCGACAAAGAAAATGCACCCCTACTGCTAACAGTGTACAGTTACATGAGCAGTGTTACAGTTCTCCAGTAGGTAATAGTAATCCCTGTATATAGACATGAGTAACATGTCCAAATACATTTTGGGGGTGCATGGAGGGATAGAGTCATCAGTCACACCACAGACAGCACAAGTGCAGAGCTGGACTCCTTTCTTATATCATATGCACACACACGCACACACGCACAGGTAAACGCAGTCCTTGTTAACTCTCACAGTGACTCATCCTGAGAAGTTTTAACACAATCTGTGCTGCAAAATTACAAATCACATAAACAAACAGTCAGATAGGCATATGGCACGGCTAACAGCCTCCGCAGTGAGACAAAATTAAGTCAGAAGAAGTTAGTTAAACTTCTGTGACTTCTTATTTTATCTTATACTCTAATGCATCTTGTCAGGTTGGGCATGTGAAATAAATCATTACGTGCATGCGCCTGCCTCCAAAAGTGTGTCATTGAATGTTTTGCCATTAATGTAAGTTGTGTAGTGAGTTTTAAATCAAAAAGTGAGTATCAAATAAAACAAGCAATTTAAAATAATGATCTTCACATGAACGTGTAATTTTGCCATTTCACATGAATGGCTGTCTTGTGTCGATCTTCACTGGTCTTCAGCACTGTAAAAGTAAGTTAACCGACTGGTTTTTACTCTTTGCCTAGGTTTTTTCTTTTTTATAGACTGTTCACAGACAAAAGCTCAGTAGGTGTCTAGCTTTCATTTACTGCAACTAAAACCAGAATGTGTTCTCACAAAAGCACAAAGAAGTGACAATGACAGAAAAAAATATCTCTTCTGCACAAGGACAAAACTAACAAAAAAGGAGTAATTTTGAACAGGAAATGGATATTTGAAGAACAATAGCGTGGGGAGTTCTGAAAGAAAAACCACACATTTAGGTCCATACATTTTTAGACAATGAGATTTCTCTTTGTCATTTTGCTCCTGTACTGTACACCACCACAGTACATCACCTGCTGGGGAGGAAACTGAAGACTTCTCGTAACATCCTGAAAGACGCTGCTTTGAAAGGCTGGTTATGCATTTCCAAATGAAATTAGATTTAGTTACGTCAGTGGACTGAAGAGCCTTTGCATGAAAAGAGCAAAAATAATTAACGTCATTAACTTCTTTCATTTCATTTGACATTGTTCTCCTAACTTAGTTCAGTACAGGTTTGAAAAGGAGATTTAACATTAAAACAGCTATTTGTACAATATAGTTAACGTGTATGAAAAGAAAAGCTCAAACATAAGCTTCACCTTTGTCTCACTGTTGTTTTGATCGAATGGCTGACTTTAAATGACTGAAGCAACAAAAACATCAGATTTCACTCAACTGTGAACAGACTTTTAGAGGGCACTGTTTCTTTTTGTGTTTGCCAGAATCCTGCTGCTGTTATATTGTAAGTAATAAAACCCACTGCCTGTTTCTTCGCTACTAAACTAGCTCCCTCTGGTTAGGACAGGGGGCACTGGGGACACAATGTGTAACAACCACAATCTGAAATGGTGTCGATGTTGTTTAGTGAATTACAACATTTTCAGCTGTTTTTTTAAATAAATAAATAAATAAATAAATACAATTGAATGACCTTACTTCAGACTTTTCAAGACATCTGTGTTCCAGCTGATGTGTAGTGGTCTGGACAATAAGCACTTCATTAACCCCGTGGCCATCCTAGTGTCACATCAGCCACAATAAAGGGGCGACTAATGACACAGTAATAAAACAGTAATGAGACAGGACATTATGGGGCAGTGAATCCTCCAGGGAGGCATTTGTGTTTTGTGGTTGTGGAAAAAGGTTCTCTGCAGCAGTAGGTGTTTAATAGAAACCAACACACTAAGATATAAAACCATAGAGAATGTGCACACCAGGATATTTGGCTTTGTTCCTCTAAGAACGGCTCACGTCACAGACCGTACAGCAACTAAACGCTTGTACATTAGTATTCAAAGCTTAAGCTGAACAAATGGTTGGACTGGATGAACAAGTAATAACAGAACAATGCCTTGATTCTGGAGAGACCAGCACACTGCACCTATAATAAAGTGGATAACGGAGGCTAACAACAGAGGAAAGGGATTTTTCAATGTTAGATTTATTTTCTAACCATAATTTACCCAATTCATGCTCCTGGGGTCAGGAATAATCATCCGCAGAGGTTCAGCAGCTCTTAAATCCCTTTTTTTCTATTTAGGTTCTACAGCACAACTGAAATCTAATTCATTGCGAATATCACGCCAAGTTAAAAGCTGGAAAATGAATAGGGTTCTCATGAAATATAAATAGCTCTTTCTGACATGACATGAAAGTACAATGAAGTCTCTATTTTATGTAATAAACAACCCATGATATACAGCAGAGGACAAAAAAAAAAAAAAAAAAGCTGGACAGTTAGTGCCTTTTTAAACAAGGGGTTTTTCTGTCTCACTGCGTGTCTGCCTTTGCTCTGAAATATGTAACAAACACGCTCTCAGATGAAATGATCATGCCACAGCTGGGAAAAAATGACTGCACCATAAAACAAAAAATACGTCAAATAGAACATCTTCATAATCTCTTATTTGCAAGTACAATTTGATGTAGAATAAGTAGAGTTCACTGAAAGTGCACTTTTACTCTGCTCAATCTAAAGTCATTTCAATATCATTTTTATTCATGGTTATATTATTTAACTGGATGTCGTATGCAGCACTCCCTTTGTTAAAATGAATGTAATCCACTGTAACGAGCTTGTATACACCAGAGCTTCTTTGCTAACCCGTGTCATGCCCAGTCACTTAGTATTGCAGAACAACCGTGTGTGCTTTGGTAGTGGCTGGATATGAACAGAGAAAGTTAACAAAGTTAAAAAACCAAAACTGTCACAAGCTTAAGTGGATCTTTACATAAATTCAATCAAGCTTTTTAGAGAAGTCATTTGATTACTGCCAAAACATCTTTTTCCAAGTGTATTAAATCTTATGCAAAAGGGCAATTATGTCAGGGACGGTGGCTCTGCAGGTCTTCTGGATGCTCCCTGCCTGTTAATGCTTGGCAGTACAACCGAAAACTAAATAAGAGCCAAATTCTTGGCTGCAAAAATCTGGTAAGGTAGAATATTTAACCGTACCAAGTTTTGAGGGGGTGTCAGCTGATGGATTTAACAGCCTGATCACTCGGCGATCAGCTGATTAGAGCACTGCTATGACGTTGTCACTCAGAAACTGAGCAGCTAAACCTGTTGTGTTTGTACACCACACATGGAAAGAGCTGAAACAGCAAGCAGAATCAGTGGGGCTCTTGTTCCTGCAGCCTGCAATACTAACAGTTTTATCCTAACCTCACAAATCAATAACATAATAAAAATGCATGAAGCTGCCGAAAGTAATTTAAAGCATATTAGAATGTGAGCACAACTTCCTTTACTATTAGCTACATATTCAACAATAGCAATGCAGTTGTTCTCAGTTCATTTTGACTCACCATATGATGAGACCTGTGATGACGGCAACCCAGGTGACACAGCAGGTATCAGGCCTTTTGGTGTCTTCATCGATGTCCCTGCGGCAGCAGCACAAGCACACCACGTATACTGCCAGAACCAGCAGGCTCACCCCAAGACCAACTGCACCAACACATGCTAGAATTATCAAAGACTGACGCAGAAGTGTGGAGAGGAGAAAAAAAAAGTGCCAGAAAAACAGAGATGCCATCTGTTAAAGTCATGATTAAGATGTGATTTCACCCTGAAAAATATGTCAAGAGCTTTTCAGCAGACTGCTTCTGCAAATATCAAAAGAGTCAAACAGTATGTGTGGTCTGAGAATGTCAGGCTAGCTGACCCTCAACACCCGAAAGGTCGCCTGACAGCCCATCAGTATCAAACAACACTTGTGTGTAGAGATATTTCTAAGGTGGAGTTTAGCCATCTCACTTATATCATCAGCATTAACGCTACTGATTGCTGCATGCAGCAAAGAGGGCTAAAAAAACTGGGTAAATGCTGCTCCCAGATAACCTTGAAGTAGCATAGCAAAATATGGACTGTGGCTCAGAGGAGAACAGAAATGATTCAAGGCTGTAGGGAGGAGGTGTCATGTGACACAAAAGCCTTTCATTAAGTCTTGTGATTTCTGAGTGAACAAAATATTTGAAGCCGGAAGGACAGATAGAAAAGGGAAACCACTGATGGAGAAAAAGCACAAAACTTTGTTTTTTTTTTATTTTGTTCCCAGTTTACAGGCACACTGTAGATGAATCAATGCATATAGCATCTTAGCATTGTCAGTCAATCTGTCTATACACCACCATCATAAAAACCCCTAAACATTTTAAAGTCTTTATACACTACACAATAGTACTGGGATTGACAAATATTAGCAGCCTTCTCTTAGTGTTAGAACAAAAGTATTAAGCCCAGAAAATCTCCAGCGTTCGTCACTGCTGAGAACATTTTGCAAGTTCAAAAGCATAACATCTGAACTCTTGGTTAGTTTAAAACAATCACAAGAAAAGCAAGACCTTGATTTTACTTGCAAATATTAAGTGCTGGAAGTTTTAATGCCCACAAGTTCACAATGTCTCTTTTCGGCTGACTAAGCAGAGCTATTCTATGACTACAATGTCTGTGACTAATTATTCCATTTGGAGGCACTGACACTGTAACCGAATTTAAATGATATTGTTTTGCATATTCTACCAAGGTCCTTCATTGTTCAAACTCTGTTCCGAGCAAAGCCATTCTGAACCCTATTTGGGGGGTTTTTCTGCAAACAAGTAAGCTAGCATTTGATACATTTCATTTACAAACTAGGTTATCAGATATTCAACCTGACATAGAGCAACTTGAAGGACCAAAGAATTGCAGCACAATAAAAATTTTCTGTAGCTTATTGATGCAAACTACTTTAAAGCCTTCATTTAAAAAAATAAAATAAGTGACTCCAAAGCAAACCAAACACTCAACACTGTAACATTATTTAAACTAAATAGGCAGTACAATAACGGTGCCAGCTAAGCTGTTCCACCTTAGCTCGCTTCCTGGCTGAGCATTTAATCCGATAATGTCCTTCTTGTTTTTGACACTGTTGGTGAGTCCTGTGTTGCTGTGTAGTCCTTGATGGTTGGCTGTCACTAGAACTCAGTTCAGGGCCCCCCATAAATATGATGCTGCTAGTTCCACTCATTCCTCTAATTTTCCACTCAATTGTTTTGTAATTAGACATTTAGGCACATAAATTTCCACTTAATGCATTGCCACAATAAAGCAACAGATGCATTAGAGGGGGGAAAGTGAGACAGAAAACAATTATGGTACGGTCATTCATCACAAGGTCATTGATCTTTTATCTTCCAAAAGGAGTGTTTGTATAAAGTAGGTGTAAGTGTGCCTGTTTAATTTAATTAAAAAAGCAGACAAGAAGCCTTTAAAATGCATTTGTAGCTGCTCTGAATTTTCCACTTTTCCCTAAAAAACAAAAAACTAAAACTAAACAAAAAAAGGCAGACCAGCGTGTCAAATGAACACTGGTAATTACTTTCAGGTTCCAAAGAAAAGACTCTGCAAGAGCTTTAGACTATCTATGATTTGTCAGTGTAATGTGACACTGCTGGGATTCAATGATGGACCTCAACATTAGACTATAGTGAAGGACCAACAGGGGATGTCTCTTGGTGATGAATTTTCAACTCATAAACAACCCGGGGTCAAAGGAGGATGTAATGCTAGTTTTGGAGTGCTTTCTGCATTTGTTTTAGAACACGGTGCAGGAAATAAGTGGTGTAGGAAGCTTGTTTTTGTATGATAAACTAATATGTTAATAAATATTATTTTTAATTAGATCTGTAAAGAGTACTTTTTGCCACAAAAGAAATTAGCCGACCACAAGTTTTTTTTTTTTGCTGTCATAAATTAACTAATGCAACGTTCATTGTCTGGCTAATATGAACTCATCATGAATTATTTGAATTAAAATCAAATCTGTCAACCCATCCTCACTACAGTTGATAGGAAAAACGCTGTCATCGCTCTCGTGGTGTTGCTTCTACTATAGTTTTCTCCATATTTTTAAGAGGTTATAGGAGTCCAAACATACAGCTGAGTAAATGTACAAATGAAATTGTATTGGACCAGTATGACAAAAAATATAATCTATAGAACCTGTCTTAATTCTGTATCACACAGAAAACACACATACCGGAATACTGTTGTTTACTACATGAGCCAGCTTAGTTAATACAGGTCATGTGTCCTATCATGTGAGAACTGCAGGACGACGTCGGTTCTTAACGCTCCAATAACTGGATCAAACATTTGAGGGAGACACACTGGTGGCTCTCAGAGAGGGTCAATAGAAAAGCTACATGTAACCGAAGCAGACTACCTAGTTTTTGTGTAACGGCATATCTAAATATGCCTACTACTGCTTTTGAAAGTCTCTGATGGACAACAGCCCTGATTTTCTAGTGAGATTATTTTGAAAATACGTGTGCCTCTACCCACAACTACAGTTACCAACCTGCTGATAGCTCGCCTCCTCCGGTTTGAAAGTGCTGTCGACCGTCTGGAAAAAGAAATTGAAGTGAGGGAAATTGTGCAGCCAGTAAGTCCACCATGGAGCAACATAATCAGTCCTTGCAGTAGCCATTACTACTTCGTGGAAAAGTCAATCCGCCAAAACCACTGACGACGGGCTTCCTTCAGAGATGTTGGCACTGAAATATTCCTGGGTTTGATGAAAAGTAAAATAATGATAATAAAAAAAACTGAAAATAATAAATAAACTAACTAAATAAATAAAATATAAAAGATGCACTACCCATAGACTTCCAATCTGTGAAATTACCACAAAGTCTCAAAGCGGAACTTCTTCTTTTGGCTGAGTGTCACTATTTTCCACCTCGGCTCCCATAGTTGTGAATGAACTGCTGTCTTACAACTAGAAAAAAAAAGAAAACATATACACTGTGGGCCAAACATTTGCATCCCAGACAAGGGATCGTGTGACGACATAAACCTGCCTCCTTCAGAAGGCGTGACAGCTTACTAAGTCGAGTAGGAAAGGCCCACGCCCTTAACGCACAACACTTAAGTATCCCGTTGACCTCCAGCCCTGAGAAACGCACTGGGGGAAGTTTTATGAACTAACAGTGCCAAATATGTGTTTGATGAGACAGAGAGAACACGTGCATGTCTCAGGATGTTCAATTGTAATATTAATACCCCGCAGTGCCCCCACCCTGTCTCTTTACAAATACATACATATATATATATATATA